GCAGCAGAACGAGCTCTCTCGGATTTGGGGTGACCCGGTGTCTAATCTTGGTTTGTTGTTAAGCTGTTACCCCCTTGTGCAAACCCAGCCCCCCCTTCCGTTGCTTTAGCATTCGGTGTCAGTACAAACCCTAGGTCAGGGGCAGGCAACCTTGGCTCTTTTATGACTCGTGGACTTCAACTCCCAGAATTCCTGAGCCAGCCATGCTGGCTCAGGAATTCTGGGAGTTGAAGTCCACGAGTCATAAAAGAGCCAAGGTTGCCTGCCCCTGCCCTAGGTTAATCCAGGAACTGGGTTCTGTCGTTCAAAGGTAAAGAAAGGCTGTCAGACCATTAGTCGGCTCCACTGAGGTTCACTTTATTCTTCCCTCTTGAACCGTGCCCAGTGCTGCCAGTTTTGGACGATGAGTCCCCATCAGCCACGGCCAAATGTTTACAGAAGGTGAACACCGAAATAAAAAGGTGTTAAAATTAAAAATTAAAAAGATTTAGCCCCTCTTGATTAAAAACAGTAAAGCTGGATTTTCTTACACAGAACTATGCGCAAAACTTTTTTTCTCCCATCCGACGAGGCAGCAAAGCCAAGCAACTTTGAACAGATCCAGCAGCCACAGACGCAAAATGGCAATCTGGACAGTAAAAACAGTGACAACGGGGATCTAAGGAGATCAGCCAATCTTGTGAATTTTATCCTGGCACTTTTGGCTGTTTAACTGCTATCCATATTCTCCCCCCCACCCCCACGGAAAAAAAAAGTTGCTCGGCTGATCCCATTTTGTGGATGTTTTTACTCCAAGGAAGATTACTTGGCTGGCTGGCAGGCACATTCCTTTTGCTCAAACTTTTTGTATTTGGGATGTTTCTTTTCCTCCCTCCAAATGAGGAGAGGCGGGTAAGAATGAATCCATCTTGGCTGACGGCACAAAGGAGAAGCACAAAAATCTCTTATCTTGCACAGTTTAATAATGATGATGATGATGATAATAATAATGATAATGATAATAATGTTGGAAGGGACCTTGGAGGTCGAGTCCAACCCCCTGCTCAGGCAGGAAACCCTATACCATTTCGGACAAATGGCTGTCCAGTCTCTTCTTAAAAACTTCCAGTGTTGGTGCATTCACCGCTTCTGGAGGTAGGTTGTTCCACTGGTTAATTGTTCTAACTGTCAGGAAGTTTCTCCTTAGTTCTAGGTTGCTTCTCTCCTTGGTTAGTTTGCTTCTTGTCCTGCCTTCAGGCGCTAGCCAGGGAAGTTTCTCAAAATCCTATTTTCCATGTTGCATTTTGTGGCTGGGTGAAGACTGGCTCCCTTCAGAAGCCTAGCAGATGGTGCCTGCTTTTATCATTTTAATTAGAAGGGTAAAGCTGTGCTTGGGATGAATTACTTCAAGCAGCTTTTGTTCGTGTGGCTTCCTTCTTCATTTCCTCTTTTTCTCCCTCCTTCATCTCGCCCCTCTCTACTCTACTTCACGAAATTTAACAAACCCCCAATCTCTGGGCCATGTGCTTCCCAGACAATGGCAGGGAAGGGAAACGGGAGGAGGAGAGATGGTCTACTCTGAGTACCCACCGAGACACAGAGTCAAAGTCAGAGATTCACTTAACCTCTTCTGCTTTGCTCGAAGCAAAGTCAGCTTCTCCTACCACCTGCAGCTTCATGGATAGAATTAGAACAAAGGTGGGGTGGGATAAAAGTCCCATCTCCCACTGTCAGGGCGGTTTGCAAAAAAGATGCAGTAAACAAAGTTTGTTTTGGAATCTTTTCAGTAAAGTCTAAATAAAACAGAATTGCTTTTCAGTTGTAGGTTTGCAGGTTTGCTAGCTAAATCAATTCCATTTTACTTCTCAGTAGGATCTCTATTCTTTGTGTTAATCAGGGACTTATTCTATTCTTCCAATTTTGATTGTGGCCCAGCTGAACAATCTTTCCTCCTCCTCCTCCTCCTCCTCCTCCTCCTCCTCCTCCTCTTCTTCTTCTTCTTCTTCTTCTTCTTCTTCTTCTTCTTCTTCTTCTTCTTCTTCTTCTTCTTCTTCTTCTTCCTTCTTCTCCTCCTCCTCCTCCATCCTCCTTCCACCTTCCTCTTCTTTCCTTTTCCTCTTCTTCTCTGAATGATACAAATATTAAGATCTATTATGTGATCAAGACTATGATCCGTCACTATATGTGTGTTTCATGTACAACAATCCTGCAAGGTAAGCAGGTTATTTCTCATTGAAAACAAAGATAAACATACAAGAATTTCATTGTTTTTTTTTAAAGAAAAAGAAATAATAAGAGCTTTTCAAATGAGGCAAATTTCTTTCATAAACAGGATGAAAAGAAACAAAAGATTTGGCCATCCCAGGCAGAGCATTTGAAGTCTTAATTTTTAAAAGTCAGAAGCTGCCTTCTCTTTTCATCTCTCCGGCTTCTCACCTTCAACAGCTACTCTCACCTTCAACAGCTACGTGTCAGGCAGGAACACCCTGGCCCCTTCCATGCTGAAAGCAATTGTCACCTATGCCACTTGGCACTGCAGGGAGGGTGAGAATTTGATCTTAAGATACCATCATTCAGAAATAACTTGCAGCTTTAAAACATTTCGATGGGAAGTAAACAAAACGGGCAGGTTTCTTTGTCCCCGACTACAAACCGAGGGATGAAGACAAAGTTGCTTAGACTAAAACTAGAATTAGCTTGTCCATGGAGATTCTCAATCATCCAGGTCATGATTGTCCCAAAAGGTGATGTTCAAAAAGCAATGGGAGTTTTTCCTCCTTGAAAAGGTTTCACTTCTCATCCACGAAGCTTCTTCGGTTCAGCTGAAGAATTGAAGAAGCTTCTTGGATGGGAAGCAAAACATTTTTCAAGGAGAAAAAAACAGGAGGGTCCAGTGGCCTTTTGAACAGCGCCCTGGGGATAGAATTAACTTGATAGAAGTCCAGGCAACAGACACTCATGAGTCCAGATGGTGTTCATACATTATATTTAGTTTGGGGTTAAAGTAGTATCTGATTGATTCATTGAACAATAAATTCATTGAACAATTGAACCGTAAATCATGACTTTAAACTATGAGTAAGCCAAGCCAAATTCACTCACAGCCCAAAGCTGGTATCAGCAACCTTGGAAGTGAGAGTGTAGGGCTTCTATTATGCCAACATTTTTTTTTTTAATGCAGAAAAGGCTACTTACAACTTCCAGAGATCAAGACAGTGACCAGACTTTTAAACACCGGCTCTCTTTCGCTCAGGATTGGCGATCAAATCAAAATCAAAGCTCTTTATGGCTGCTTAAAGGGGAAAAAAAAACCCCTGGCTCTCCTCTTATAGATTATCCTTCGCACATCTGGTGAGGCTCTTACAAGTAAAGTCCTGGATAAAACATTTTGGCAGCATCTAAGGAGCTATGAATAATTGAGTGCCCTGGTCTGGAGACTGTAAATCTGAAGGACTGGGGAACAAATGGGCTTTTAAAGAAATAAGATGAAGCTCCGTGATAAAACAGCAGGCTTCCAGGCTAGATCTTGGCTGCTCTAGATCAAAAGGATCAGGCAGTGGGAGGATCTAACAGCTGCTGCAGCTGAAAGGGTTAGAATTGGGTCAAGTTGGTATAATGCCCCTTCCAAAATGCCAAGATAAGGAATTACCACAACTAGGCCACAGGACATGTGTCCACCATATCTTGCCAGCATCTTCATTTTGCATTTCATTTTGTCCAAGCAAGCTGTTCATCCCCTGATTTTTAGTAATAAACATAAGAGCCGCGATGGCACAATGGTTAGAATGCAGCATTGCAGGCTAATTCTGCCGACTGCCAGCAGTTCGATCCTGACCGGCTCAAGGTTGACTCAGCCTTCCATCCTTCCAAGGTGGGTAAAATGAGGAGCCAGATTGTTGGGGGCAATAGGCTGATTCTGTGAACGGCTTAGAAAGGGCTGTAAAGCACTGTGAAGCGGTACATAAGTCTAAGTGCTACTGCTATTTCAGTATTAGGCTGGGCTAAGTTGAGCTGGACAAGTATATTGACAAGAGTCCCTCTCTGAGGCCAGTTTTAAAACTTTTGATAGATAATAAATACAATTTGTGCTATGCCACAGCACTAGGCATCTCTACGAGGAAGTCACCTCTCCCTTGATAAAATCAGAGATTTGGTCCTTTTTTTCAGAAGATTGGAATGTTCAGATGAGGACCATTAATGGGTTGGGGCCTCAGTCAAGCTACTGTCCTGATCCATTAAGGAACGGGCTTCTCACCTCATAATTTCTTTTCTCAAGCGGTAAGATTTGCTTTAGGGAAATCAAAATACATCACCTAACCACCCATGGATAAACCTACTGTATCACTGTCCATCTTTTTTCAGGCTTTCTTTAAAAAAAAAAGCATATGGTTCATTCCTGGTATTGTAGCAAGCTGACTTTGAATTTGACATTTATTCCATCTTAGCTTTGGAATCAGCTAAGCTTATGCTGTGTCCGAGTCTGATCTG